ACTAGGCAAAAGGGCCTTCTCCTACTCCGCTCCTGTTTCCTGGAATATCTTACAAAAAGATTTGAAGCTCTCGACCTTGACCTCTCTAAGTGGCTTTAAAAATCTGTTGGACTCCTGGCAGGGACCAATGCAGACATGTTCCTGTTTTTAGTTTTATACATTTGTCTTGGAATCTAGCTGTTTTTTTTTTGTTTTGTTACCTTTTTCCTTTTAGCCATCCTATTTGTTTAAAAAAAAAAAAAAAAAAAAAAAAAAAAAACTGTAGTATGAGTTTTTATAACTGCTTATTGTTGTTGCTGTTGTCCATTGTTGTCATCTTTCTTTGTTGAAATCAGGTCTCTCTTGTAAATGAGTCCTCGAGGCTCAATGGGATTTACCTGTAGAAATAAAGGTTGAATGATTTTATTTAGACAGGTTAATCCCATTGAGCCTCGAGGACTCATTTACAAGAGAGAACTGATTTTAACAAAGAGTGATGACAGCAATGGATAACAACAATAACAATACACAGTAAAAAATAAAATGGGCATACAAATTTAAGTTTCTCTTTTTTTTTTTTTTTTTTTTACAAATTGAAACAAAATAGCAACCAAAAGGACAATCAAGAGGAATAGTAGCAAAAAAACAAACAAAACCCAGCTAGATCACAAGGCTACTAATAATAACACAGATATTTTTACATTTTGAGATAAAAAGAAAAGACTGGATTCCATCCATTCATCTATCTATCCATCAGTCCTCCACCCACTTCTTCCTTTTCGGGTCACAGGGGTCACTGGTGTCACTGGTGTCCATGTCCATCAGTCACTGGTGAGAGGCGGGGGACACCCTGGACGGGTCTCCAGTCCGTCACAGAAGACTGGATTATTGTAAAGAAAAAACAATCTTATTTTTGCCAATATTTTTAAAAACAAACAATGAACTGTGCAGACATATGTGATTTATTTTATTGTGGATAAATAGATTATCTTACTTTGAAGAAATAAAGTTAAAGTGAGTATAATTTACTCTGTTATTACTAGTAGCCACATATTTGCATGGGAAAAATTACTCTTTTTTTGGGGGGTGGGGGTAATAACTTCTTATAATATTCAGCTTTATGTTAGTTTTGGTCAAAGCTTGAAAGAGCCGCCTGCTCTAACCTAAAAGATAAGCTCCTCCCACGCCGCGGGTCGTGCAGCTGCGTCATACACCGGCTCACAGAAAAGGGAGAAGGGGGTCTCTGCAGACCAAAAGTGGGCGTTTCTGGCGAATAGGCGTTTATGGGCGGCGAACACTGATTGGCTGTGGGTAACCCTCAAAGTCACGAGGATTATTGATGAGGTAACGTTTCTTTGCGATGTTTGACAAAGAAATATGATTTATTGTACTTATAAAGCATGCTATGTTTTCACTTATGCATATTATTGAAGTACGTTTATTGTAGGTCACGATAGTTTCGACCGTTCTCTCGTTGTTGTCGTAACGCACTGAGGTAACGTGAGCCTCCACAGCAGCTCTCACTGTGCACGTTTACAACAACTGGGTGTTGCTTTTCAAAATAAAAGCTGAAAATAAAAGTTCTTAATACTTGAAAAATAAATATTTTAAAGCTGTGTATAACTGAAAAATATGAAAAACAAATAAATAAAAGTTGTTATTAGCTGAAAAATAAATAAATAAAAGCTGTTAATTATATCTATGTCTTTCTGCCATGTCAGGGACCACTCTCACTTCAGACTGACTCTAGAAGACCCCAAGATGTTGCTCAGAAACTTTGACCTACATCTGATGTTGACTTTCAAAATAAATCACCTCAAAAGTTTAACATAGTTCATAGTAATAGTCAAAAGTTGCTGACCTTGTTGCAACATGAGTTAACACAAACATGAGTGTAAATTGTCAATGATTCAATAATGAGTAATAACTTATTCAATAAAAAGTCTGTAATTTGTCAATAATAGTCAATAATTCATTCAATAATAGATTATGGGTGTTTGGTATGGCTCAGTGGCTAAAATGGGTTGGATGTTAGAGAAATTACTTAATTTTCAATTACCTGAATGCACAAATTCCTTCATTTATAGTTAAACTTTAGGAAATCAACTTTTTTTTCCTTGTGAAAAAAATATCAAAATTAACTTTAAAATCCAATCCAGGATTAAGTAACAACTAGCAACACTCTAACTGTACTATGTTCTGTGTTTCCAACAGATGCTACGATGACTTCTAAAAATGGATGTCCCAATAAACAATAAAAAAAATTCAATGATGCATCAAATGTTGTCTGAGTATGTTTTAAGGTAATAACAAATGTGAAATCTGGAAAACAAAGAGAATTCCTGAATCTGTCTTGTGTGCTTTGATGTGTACATAAGTTTATTGGAGGTCCTGAAACAACTTTTCTGAGAACACAAAGATTTTTATTTTACCTTTGGCCAAGATGTCAGTTTGAAATCAGGCTGCTTACTGCAAAACCAAGAGGTTTTTTTAAGACAGACAGTCTTCATTTGTATTGTTTTGTCGACTAAGCTAAATGTAATTTCTAAAATATGGATAAATCTGATCTCATCATGCAGCATGAGCAACTGGGTACAGGTGTGAGGGCCAAAAGTCTGGTTATGTACTGACTCCTAAATGTGCTGGTTTTCTACTGAAACATGGAGTAGGGTTGACCTTTAAAATGTGAGACAGCTGAGGAAGTTAACCAGTAAACAGAAATACCTGCTCCAGGTGCAGAAATCTGACAGAAACTGACAATCACTCATCTGCAGTGACTGCAGGTTGAACAAGAAAATGTGAAGTTAAAGGAAACCTCCTTTGTCCCAAGGCCAGTTTAAGTATCATTAATATTTTTCTTTCTTTATGAATCGATTGTAACTTTGTTCACATTTTTCAACAACCAAAATGGAATTTGTTTTTTTAATGTTATGGCTAGGTATTAAAAAAAACCCTAACATTTAGCTCTCCCCACTACCCAGTTATGTTGCTCTTATTTTGAAATGTAACCGGAAGTTCTGTGTTAAGAGAGTCGAAAAAAGAAGTTATGGAGACGCCGCGGCAGTATACTGGAGCAATGTCGAACCGAGACGCCGCTAATGTCGAACCGGTTAACACCATAGACATAATATGCCTGTGGTTAACACAATCTGCCAATAACGCCTTGTTTTTAGACATCATGTGTCTGTGGTTACGGCATTTTATCGTTCAGCCTTTTTTTTTCTATCGTCCAATCAGATGTGGCCGTCCAGACACGCCTATTTTCTATCGTCCAATCAGATGTGGCCGTCTAGACACGCCCATTTTTCTATCGTCTAATCAGATCCGGCCGACCAGAAACGCCTATTTTCCTATCGTCCAATCAGATATGTCCGCCCAGATACGCCCACTTTCCTATAGTCCAATCAGATATGAGCGCCCAGATACGCCTTCCGAATTTGCCTGCAGAGACCCCTTTTTGAGAAAAGGCGCAGAACCCGTCTGGGTCACGTGACGCACGGTCAGCTGACTTTAGTGGAGCGACTCAGTCCAGGTTCGACCTTCGTTGTTCTGGTCCACTTGTGTGTTTTCTGCTCCGGCCGTCCGCAGCTCTTCTCCCCGGCATGGCGAGTCAGTCTCAGGGCATCCAGCAGCTGCTGCAGGCCGAGAAGAGAGCCGCCGAGAAGGTGGCCGAAGCCCGCAAACGTGAGTATGAAAGGCGGCCTGCTCCCCCCCGGGCCGGGTCACAGGTGGATCCGGGACCAAGACTGAGGCAGTAGAACCGGGTAGAAATGCGCAGGTTCGACGGTGGAAGCAGACGGCCCGGCCGCAGCCAGACTCCGTGAGGAAGTCTGTGGATTTAAAGATGTTTAGCTTCGGTTCGGTTCTTAGCGGAAGTCAGAGAGGACCCAGAGGGGGTTCTAGGTGTGGAAGGTTCTCCTATTTTCATCGGCTGTCAGCTCGCTCTTTAAACCGAACCTCAGCGGGTCTCAGATGATGGTTCCGACCCAGAGTTCGGTGTTCTGACCATAGTTCGGACTGTTCGCACTGGAAATTAGAACAGAACAATCATCGATGTGTGACTGAAACTCACGCCGATTTACTGAGTCTGGACCGGTCCAGAACCAGCCGGTTCGGAGACACACCGACCGGAAGTTAAAAGTGCCGTAAACGGTCCATTTCCGGTCCGGATCAGCTGAGCGTGACTGGCGGACATCACGTGACGAGAATCTTCTAATTTCTGTAAAAATGTTCTAACAAACAGAAGTCCGACCCAGAAACCGACGAACCGGAGCTCTCAGAATAGTTTCGAAGTGTCAGACATGTTGTTCATCCAGAACACAAAGAAATAATAATAATTAAAAAATATTGGACTTTTATTTTGAAGTTAAAGACGTTTCTCTTTCCTTCCGGAGCTTCTGCAGCTGAACTCGCAGGCACATTAATCTCCTTTCCCTCCCTCCTGAGGGTCATTAGGGTATCTGAGAACTGGCGCACATGACGAAGGAAACCGAGGATCAGATCTAAAGTCTCAAGTCTGGAAAGACAACTAAAATGTTACAACACTGACTAGAACAGTTGAGATGTTCTCGTGTGCGTAACAGGAAGTGATGTCAAAGGGAGACGCCTGCGCGTGAACAGCACAGACAGAAGAATCTGAGGTTTCTTATTTTGAGTCAGAGGTCAAACCAGATTGTTTCAGTGAACAAGGACCAGGAACTTCCCCTTTTTTAAGTGTTCCCCTTTGATGTCACTTCCTTTTTTCATTTTGGATGCTCCACAGTGGGACTGATGGCATCGGGGGTCTGATGGCTAGTGGTAGGCGGATCGATTCAAATATGGATAATATCGATACCATCATTGGTGATAATCAATGCCAGTGTAATGCGATCGATACTTTAGCTTCAGTTTCTCTCCTGTATGCACTGCTGCGGCTTCATCAAAGATGCAAGCGCCGCTCCTGTCACAGCACAGAGCAGGTAACTTGTCTCCGCCCCTACCCACAGTGTTTTGATGTGTGACTCAGCGATGCCAGGCAAGCAAGCGGGCCCGACCCAGCAGCAGCAGCATACACGCATAAGCAGCGCCGTGACGGAGCGGAGAAATGACGGAGAGGAAGAGGAGCGCTGTGTAGCTATATTTTCAGGCCGAAAATGAAACGACGGCAAGCTGCTCAATTTGTAAAAAGGCAGTAACTTACACAACAAATTTATGCAAGCACATGAAAACTCACGTGGAAGAATGATCCAAAGGAAAAATCACAAAACACTAAAACATCATCAAAATTCACCGTGATTATTAAAAAGTATCGTATCGGCAATATTGGACCTGTATTTACTTGGTATCACTCGATACCTAATTTTGCAGTATCGCACACCACCACTGATTGAGTCTGTTGGCGTCTGGGGGGTCTGATGGTGGCTGTGTGTAACGATGTACGCAGGTAAGAACCGGCGCCTGAAGCAGGCGAAGGAGGAAGCTCAAGCTGAGATCGAACAGTACCGCCTACAGAGGGAGAAGGAGTTCAAGACCAAGGAGGCAGCTGTGAGTTCTGCTACACTCTAGCTCCTCCCCTTTCTATTCTCCTTTTCCTTATCTTTTATGTCGCCATCCTTTAAATCTCCTCCCCTCATCTCCTTCACGCCTGTGGCTCCTCCCCTCTTTCTGTTTATTAAATGAATGTACAAACAAAGATGCATATTTGTTTTTTGTCCGAACAATCTGTAGTTTTACACACAAAAACATGAACAAAAACTTCCATGAAGTTGTTGATTTTGTTTTTCTCTTCCTCCTCTTGTGGCCCCACCCCCTCAGGCTCTTGGTTCCCATGGTAACAGCGCAGTGGAAGTGGACCGCGACATGGCGGAGAAGATGGCTCGCATCCAGGAGAGTTACAGCGGTAACCGAGAGGCGGTGCTCAACGACCTGCTGCGGCGCGTCTGCGACATCCAGCCAGAGTTTCATGCTAACTACCGTGTGGCAGGCTGAAGGGGCGGAGCATCACCAGAGGGGCGGGACAGGCATGTTCCTACTCCGCCTGTATACTGCATCCTGATTGGTTCTTGTTGTCGTTTTCTGTGCTGATGTTTACGAGGTATTTATATTTCAAAATAAATGTTTCATTACGATCTTCCTGAAACTATCAAAATAAAAGTATTCTGAGATGTCTAGCCAATCATGTGTCCTGATTAGCTAGAGGGGGAAAAAAATTTAACTTTTTGTGTGAAACAGTATGGTTTCCTGTTTGTAGCCATGTGACTTCATGTTGTGTTTGTGACATGATAAATAATAGATATTTATCAGAACGTTTTCTGTTTTTATTTAAATTAAAAAGACCCAGCAGTGTTGAAACTGTAACTCCCGATGTTACAAGAAATGTCATTTAGAAATGTTCAGAATGGTTCAGAGAAATGAGAGGGATGTCTCCGAGTCCAGACTGCAGACGCTGAATGCTTGTTTCCATCTTCAAATGTTGGAGTGAAGGTCAGAGCTGCTGTCTGGTTTATGTTCGAGACACGGAGTCGGGCCAAGCAGAGTCCAATAAGTCAGTCATTTGGCCTGTCTTCACACTGAGGACGGGCCGAAGACGGAGTGAGATGTCTCCAGCTAGTTAGGGTTAGAACCTAACCTGGTTCTTCTGAACAGCTAACATGTCTTCTGTGTTGAAGGAACCTGGTTTGGTTCTGAGGTCAAGAAGAGTCCAGGCAGGACAGAGGTTCAATTCAACCTTTATTTATACAGCTTAGTCTCATTGAGCCTCGAGGACTCATTTACAAGGGAGACCTGTTTTTAACAAAGAACACAGATGACAACAGTAGACAATCATAAAAACAATGAAAAGTAAATGGAAGAAATATAAAATTAAAAAAACAGCCACATTGTAAAGCGATATACAAAAAACGGAGATGTCTGCGTTGTTTTGTCATGAACTTAGGTCAAGGACGAGAGCTTCAGATCTTTTCGCAAGGTGTTCCAGGATAAAGGAGCGGAGTAAGAGACGGCACTTTTACCTAGTTCAGTCTGCACTGAGGGTACACTGCATGTAATAATGTCCTGAGAGCGCACGCTGTAGCTGCACTAAGGTAGGAGGAGATACAGGTGCTGGTCATAAAATTAGAATATCATGAAAAAGTTAATTCATTTCAGGAATTCCATTAAAAAAGTGAAACTTTTATATGATATTAATTTATTCCACACAGACTGATATTTCAGATGTTCATTTCTTTTAATGTTGATGATTATAGCCAACAGCTAATGAAAACCTCATTCAGTATCAAAATTAGAATATTGTAAAAAAAAAAAAAGGTTCAATATTGAATACACCTGGTGCCACAGTCTAATCAGTTAATTAACTCAAAACACCTGCAAAGGCCTTTAAATGGTCCCAGTCTAGTTCTGTAGGCTACACAATCATGGGGAAGACTGCTGACTTGACAATTGTCAAAAGATGACCATTGACACCGTGCACAAGGAGGGCAAGACAAAAAGTCATTGCTAAAGAGGCTGGCTGTTCATAGAGCTCTGTGTCCAAGCACATTAATAGAGAGGCAAAGGGAAGGAAAAGATGTGGCAGAAAAAATGTAAAAGCAATACGGATAACTGCACCCTGGAGAGGATTGTGAAACAAAACCCATTCCAAAATGTGGGGGAGATTCACAAAGAGTGAACTGCAGCTGGAGTCAGTGATTCAAGAACCACCATGTAGAGACGAATGCAAGACATGGAGTTCAGCTGTCACATTCCTTGTGTCAAGCCACTCTTGAACAAGAGACAGCGTCAGAAGCGTTTCGCCTGGAACTGTTGCTGAGTGGTCCAAAGTTATGTTTTCTGAAAAAAGTAAATTTTGCATTTCCTTTAGAAAGCAAGGTCCCAGAGTCTGGATGAAGAGAGGAGAGGCACAGAATCCATGTTGCTTGAGGTCCAGTGTCAAGTTCCACAGTCAGTGATGGTTTGGGGTGACATGTCTGGTCACCCCAATGGGTGGTGACCAGACATGGTGTTGGTCCACTGTGCTTTCTTAGGTCCAAGGTCAACACAGCCGTCTACCAGGAAGTTTTAGAGCACTTCATGCTTCCTGCTGCTGACCAACTTTATGAAGATGCAGATTTCATTTTCCAACAGGACTTTGCATCTGCAGACAGTGCCAAAGCTACCAGTACCTGGTTTAAGGACCATGATATCCCTGTTCTTAATTGGCCAGCAAACTTGCCTGACGTTAACCTCATAGAAAATTTATGGGGTATTGTGAAGAGGAAGATGTGATACACCAGACCCAACAATTCAGAAGAGCTGAAGGCCACTATCAGAACAACCTGGGCTCATAACACCTGAGCAGTGCCACAGACTGATCCACTCCATGCCATGCTGCATCACTGCAGTAATCCAGGCAAAAGGAGCAACAACTAAGTATTGATGCTGTACATGCTCATACTTCTCATACTTTTCAGTTGGCCAACATTTCTATTGGTCTTAAGTAATATTCTTATTTTCTGAGATACTGAATTTGTGGTTTTCATTAGTTGTCAGTTATAATCATCAACATTAAAATAAATAAACATTTGAAATATATCAGTCTGTGCATAATGAATTAATATAATATACAAGTTTCACTTTTTGAATGAAATTACTGAAGTAAATCAACTTTTTCATGATATTCTAATTTACTTTTTTTCTATTTTCTATTTTTTTTCTTACCTTCAAGATAACTTTAATTGCATCCCAGCGGGGTGGGAGACATTGAGTCCAGGTGGGCTATGTTCTGCGCCTCCATTGTTGAGGTGGCTGCCCTCAAACTCAGTGGTGGACACGCCACGTGATTGAGAGTGTTAAGCTCAATCAAGTCCTACAGAGTCTTGTTGTTTAGTAGGACTTCCCCTCTGCAGAATCACCACCTTAATGTGGTGGAGGGGTTTGAGTACCCCAGTGATCCTGAGGGCTATGTTGTCTTGTTGTCTGGGGAAGTTGCCATTGGTAGGGTCTCCCATGGCAAACAGGCCTCAATGGAGGGTTCCGACTGGAGCAATTCAAAAACCCGAGCCCCAAGAAATGACAGGAAGCCACCGCCGCATGGGCGCACCACCTGAGGTAAGGTCTGTCAAGTTTAAGTACAAAGCAAGACAAGTGGCAGGCAAGGGGTGGGGTCCCTGGCCATGCCGATTCTTGACGACATAGACTTGTTCTAGGGACTTGGAACATTACTTCACTGGCGAGTAAGGAAGTGGAGCTTATGTATGAGGATGTGTGGTACCATGAAGATATAGTTGGGCTCACCTCTATGACCAGCTTGTGCTCTATAACCCAACTCCTGGAGAGAGGCTGGACTCTTTCCTACTCCAGTGTTGCCCAGGGAGAGAGCAGGTGCTCACAAGCCCCTGGCTGAATGCCTCTGTAATGGGAGTTTTCCTCTGTGATAGTTACATCTCAGTGACTGGACTGTGGGAAGGAAGGATCTGATGGTTCATCCAAAAAAGTTCAATCTGGTCCTCTGGACATTCAAAAAAACAAAAACAAAACAAAGCAAAAAAATATAGAAACGTTTCGTCTCTCATCCAAGAGACTTCCTCAGTCTGAGGTGCTGTTTTCAGCTCAGTCTCTTAAATAGCACCTTCTTAGAGTGGATCAACTAGTTTGCTGCTGACAACCAAAACCAGCTAATCACATGCTCAAGAAGGACCATCAGCCTAACAATGGATCATTAGCACACTGATGGCTGTTTACTACTCACAGAGGGCTGAGTGATACTAGCAATCACAGCATTGTAAGAGGGGGACAGTTGAACCCGGAGGCCTCCACCCCTGTTTAATGATGGACAATTTCTTTTCAACAGGTCCCTGGTTCAAACCCCGGACCAGGGGCCTTTCTGGGTGGAGTTTGCATGTTCTCTCCGTGCATGCGTGGGTTTTCTCCGGGTACTCCGATTTCCTCCCACAGTCCAAAAACATGCATGTTATGCTGATTGGTAACTCTAAATTGTCCCTAGGTGTGAGTGAGAGAGTGAATGGTTGTTTGTCTCGTTTGTCTCTATGTGGCCCTGTGATGGACTTGCGACCCGTCCAGGTTGTACCCCGCCCCTCGCACAGTGATTGCTGGACATGGGCACCAGCGGCCCCCGTGACCCAAAATGGAATAAACGGGTAAAGATAATGGATGGATGGATGGATTTCTTTTCACAAAGATGGCCTCCTTTACTCCTCTCTCAAACCATTGTTCCTCTCTGTCCAGGATGTGAACATCTTCATCCCTGAAAGAGTGACAGCTGGCCTGGAGATGAGTGTAGACCGCAGAATCCTGGCCTGATGATGTTGATCTTCTGTGCTGGGCCATCCTTTTGGCCAGTGGCTGTTTAGTTTCCCCGATGTAAGACTGATCACAGCCCTCCTGACACTGAACAACATACACAACATTACTCTGTTTGTGCCGGGGGACTGGATCTTTGGGATGAACCAGTCTTTGCCGTAATGTATTTTGGGGTTTAAAAGCCACTGAGACGTTATGTTTAGAAAGTAAACGTCTCAGTTTCTCTGATACTCCCTCAACATACGGAATGACCACTGGTCTGGGTCTGGGTTCCTCCTTTTCACCTGTTGGCTGACTGGAGTCCTGTTTGGGTTTCTTCTCTGCTTTCAGGAAGGCCCAGTTAGGATATCCACATTGCTCTAGAGCCTGTCTTGTGTGGGATTTCTCCTTCTGCCTGGCTCCTGAGCTAGTGGGGACGCTGTCTGCTCTGTGATACAGAGTCCTGATGACTCCTAACTTGTGCTCCAAAGGGTGATGGGAGTCAAACTGCAAATACTGGTCTGTGTGGGTGGGCTTGCGGTACACCTCAGTTTGCAAATGTCCTCTATCAGAGACTGAGACCTCACAGTCCAAGAAAGCCAACCTGCCATTTTTTACATCTTCTCGTGTGAACTTGATGTATTTATCCACAGAGTTGATGTGGTCAGTAAAATGTTGGACTTCCCGAGATTTAATTTTAACCCAGGTGTCGTCAACATACCTGAACCAATGACTTGGTGGTGTCCCTGAAAAGGACGTCAAGGCTCTCTTTTCTACCTCCTCCATGTACAGGTTGGCAACAGTAGGAGAAACTGGAGACCCCATAGCACACCCATGTTTCTGCCTATAATATTGCTCCCCATATGTGAAGTAGGTTGACTGCAGGCACAGTTTCAAGAGTTCACACAGTTGTTCTGTGGAAAGTGTGGTCCTGCTGCTCAGATTGGTGTCTGATTTTAATTTTAAACTGACCACCTCTACTGCATCATCAACAGGGATGCACGTAAAGAGTGATGTGACATCAAAAGAGACCATTGTTTCATCAGTCTCCATGATGACATCCCTCACCTTGTCCACAAAGTCCATGGTGTTCTGTATGTGGTGTTCTGAGCTGCCAGCTAAAGGGATGAGTACAGACGCCAGATATTTGGAAACATTGTAAGTGACAGAGTTAATCATACTAACAATTGGTCTTAAATGTACACCTTGTTTGTGGATTTTAGGTAAACCATACAGACTAGGTGTGGCCTCCCCTGGGTACAGTCTGTGGTACAGAAAACGGTCAATAGCCTTGTCCTGCTCCAAATTTTTCAGGCAATCTATTAACTTCTTCTTGTAACCACTTCCTGGATCTCTTTTCAGAGGTCCATAAGTGTTTAAGTCACTAAGGAGTGTCATAACTTTCTCATGATAGTCTTTCTGGTTCAAAATCACTGTGCACCTTCCTTTGTCTGCTGGGAGAATGATGATGTTTTTGTCCTTGCTAAGAGTGGTGAGTGCATCCCTCTCCTCTCTACTGATGTTGGAAGGTGGTGGTTTGGCATTGCTGAGGCAGGATGAAACTTTGATTCTGAGCTGTTCTGCTTCAGCCTCTTTAATTTTGTTGTTGCGGATGGCTGATTCTGTGGCTGTGATCATCTCCACCAGAGGAATTCTACTTGGTGCAGCCGCAAAGTTCAGTCCCCTGGCAAGAATCTCTGTCTCCGGCTGGGTGAGCTGTCTGTCAGATAAATTCTTCACCCACTTTTCTGTCTCCCTGGCATGTAATTGACTACTGGAGTGTTGTCCTACACTGAATGTGTTGTTATTGGAATAGTGATATTGTTGATGAGTTATTAGTAAGTTAAACTTGTTTTGTTGTTGAGTCTTGGACTTGACATGCTGTGCTAAGCGTGCCTGATCTGTACAGTCCAACACTTGCTGAAGTGTGGTCTGATCTAGACACATAGTTAGTTTCTGTTTAATGTGCTCTTCTTTGGCCTTCAAGGCCTCAATAGTAAAATTGGTCTGTCTCACCCGTTCATTCAGCAGCTGGGTCTGTGCCTTCTGAAGGATCTTGCTTGCCCGGTGCCCGCTGACCGAAGATTTTAGTTCCAGGCTCTTGGGAATGATGCCACTTTGTCTGCATCTGAGGTTGAATCGCAAGTTGTTCCTGTAGTCTGCCCTCTTCCTTGCTGTTTTCTCAAACTCTCTTACTAGTTTGAGGCAATCCTGGACAAAGTGATTCAAAATATCCTGATGCATGCTCAATATGCTCAATATGCCCAGAGGACCAGATTGAACTTTTTTGGATTTTTCTACCTGGATTATTGAGCATGCATCAGGATGATCTGATGATTGTTTGTGTGTATGCACCAAACATCACTTCAGATTAGCCAGCCTTTTTGGATTCTCTGGATGGTGTCCTCGAAAGGGAGCCATCTGGGTATCCCCTCATTCTACTGACTTCAATGCCCATGAGCAATGACAAAGTTTATTTGGAGGGGATGATTAGGAGAAATGTTCTCCCTGATCTGAACCCCAAACGGTGTTCGCTTATTGGGCTTCTGTGCTCAGCATGGGCTGTCCATGATGAACACCATGTCTGTATGTTCCTGTAAGTCTGAGGCCATGGTTCTCGACACACTGATGGGGGGGTCTGGGGGTCCTCCCCCAGAAAATTTTGAATAAAGTAGATGCCATTTCCTGCATTCTGGTGTATTTTAATGGTTGTTTAACATCTAGTTTTACCTACATAAGTAAACACTTGGAAGACCTTGGGATTCCCCTGGAGGAGCTGGTCCAAGTGGCTGGGGAGAGGGAAGTCTGGGCCTCCCTACTTAGGCTGCTACCCCCGCGGATGGATGGAAGTAAACACTTGATTCAATAACTATTTTAGAGATAATTGCACAACAAGAAGTAGCCTGACCAACAGCTGATTCAATGAATTCAAAATATTATATATTCAAAGGTGACAGGTGGTCCAGGTGTACCTGAAAGACAAAAAAAAACACGTTAAGGATAGAAAAAATAATTACAAATACAAAACAGCACTTTGGCCAACGGTGTTGTTTTAAAGTGCTTTATAAATAAAGTTGTATTGTATTGTAAAACAGGTTGAGCAGAGTAAATAAAGACAGTAGCAGAGTGAAAAGGTGTGGTCAGTTTGTCCTCCAGCAATCTAAGCCTATAGCAGCATAACTAAGGGACAACTCAGGAAACCCAAGCCGACCCTAACTATAGGATTTATCAAAAAGGAAAGTCTTAAGGCTAGTTTTAAAACTGGATAATGTGTCAGCCTCACGGACAGAGATTGGAAGTTGGTTCCACAAGAGAGGAGCCTGATAAATGAAGGATCTGCCTCCCATTCTGTTTTGGGAAACTAGGAACCACAAGTAAACCTGCAGTCTGAGAGCGAAGTGCTCTGTCAGGAAAATACAGAACAATAAGATCTGTAATATAAGATGGAGCCAGGTTGTTGAGAGCTTTGTAGGTTAGAAGTAAGATTTTGAATTCTATTCTGGATTTGACAGGGAGCCAATGGAGAGAAGCTCAAACTGGAGAGATATGATCTCTCCTACTAACTCCAGTTAAGACTCTGGCAGCAGCATTTTGGATCAACTGAAGACGTTTTAAAGAAGTATTTGGACATCCAGATAATAAACCATTGCAATAGTCCAGTCTAGACATGACAAATGCATGGACCAGTTTTTCTGCATCATTTTTAGATGAGATGTTTGTAATGTTAGTGATATTACACAGGTGGAAGAAGGCAGTTCTAGTAATGTTTTTAATTTTGGGGATAAAAGACATGTCCTGATCAAAAATAACACCAAGATCAGTTTGGGCAGATTTAGAGTCAGATCGGGGGGGTTTGAGTTAACCTCTTAAAAACATTTCAAACAATCATTCATCATTATTGGTTCAAAGCTCCCTTGACCTTTCTCCATTACTGATTGGCATCACATTGTCATCTCTACCAGGGCATTCACAACAGAAAACTGGTGAGGCAGTTAGTGGACGCCTCGTTGAGGGGTTGGCCGCGCAGTACGTCGGTGCGGCCGCCATATTGGATGTGGCAGAATGGCTGGTCAACCAATTAAAAGAAATGGACAGAACTTCATAAAGCACCGTTCTACAAAGTGTTTTATGTTAATGCCTGTCATTAGACACACTAATATATCTGGAAAACAAACAGGCACCAAAGACAACATTTATAACTTTTAAAGTGATTATTAAAAATGTTTACTCCTAAAATATTTAGGTTAAAGTTAAGCACTAAGCCAACATGTGTATTATTTTAAGTGTTTACAACTACTAATGTGTAGTAGATAACAAAGACTACAGTGGACAATCATAAAAAGCATGCAAATTGAGAAAAACAAATAAAAGAAAATGGTATTTAAAAAACAAAATAAAAACAGCTAGGTTGTAAAGAAATAACATGAAAGATAAACTCTGGGCTCAAAGCAACAAATCAATAAAAATATTTAACTTTTTTTTTATTTCAACAACCTTCAACAACTGAACTGTTTTTCATACTGGATCTTTGTTTTCATGCGTTCATCACATGCGTGGACTGACGTCACGTGACTAATCATAAAAAAAACTCTGCTTACGTGGCGTGGCTTTTGATTGGTTCAAATATCCACACTCTGGCCCCGCCTCCTGTGACGCTACGCAATGGACGGAAGTCGCGAAAAGTAACGGAGGAGAGCAGTGACAGAAGGAAAACGACTTTGTCTGTAAGTTTTTAAGTCTGTCGTTGATTCCGTGTTTCCAGGTCAGAACCGAGGACAGGACGCAGCAGAAATCCGGGTCCAGGTCAGTTCTTTGTTGGTTCTGGTCCAGTTGGTGTGTCGGAGTGACCTCTGCCTCTGACCCTGGGCTGCTGAACCGAACTCCGTGTAAAAAAAACTGTTGTTTCTGTGATTTTAGTTTTTATAGAAGTAGCGCTGGCAAAAACAGAGCATGTTGACGTTTCCGGAACCGGATCGGTTTCAGTTAACATTCGGTTGGGTTTGAGCTACCTGCTGACATCTCGGTCAGTAGTTCTCCGAACCTGTCCGGGTTCAGGATCCGCCGGCTTCATCTCAGGAGGCGCTTACAGACCGGGTTCTGTTCGGACCGGAACCTTCATGACGGGAGATTGATGAACAACGTGCACACCGATGTGTGGGGAAGCAAGTGCGCTGTCACAACCGGTGGACGCACTGGTGGGTCATCACTGAAGTTCTGATGATGATGGTGATTAAGGTCGGAGTTTGTTAGCCAGCAGAACAGAACCATCCTTACCGACAAAGACACGTACACAAGAGGGGGGATACCAGAATCAAGAACTGGACCTCTGTCCAGAACTAGGATCTGAACCCACAGAACTGAAGCTCAGATAAGGAAGATGATGAGATGAACCATCAGTAGTAAGGTACATTGTAGCACTCTGAGGTACATTGTAGCACTCTGAGGTACATTGTAGCACTCTGAGGTATGTGGCACTCTGAGGTACATTGTGGTATTCTGAGGTACATTGTAGCACTCTGAGGTACATTGTGGCACTCTGATGTACATTGTGGCACTCTGATGTACATTGTGGCACTCTGAGGTACATTGTAGCACTCTGAGGTACATTGTGGCACTCTGATGTACATTGTAGCACTCTGAGGTACATTGTAGCACTCTGAGGTACATTGTGGCACTCTGATGTACATTGTAGCACTCTGAGGTATGTGGCACTCTGAGGTACATTGTGGTATTCTGAGGTACATTGTGGTATTCTGAGGTACATTGTAGCACTCTGAGGTACATTGTAGCACTCTGAGGTACATTGTGGTATTCTGAGGTACATTGTGGTATTCTGAGGTACATTGTGGTATTCTGATGTACATTGTGGTATTCTGAGGTACATTGTGGTATTCTGATGTACATTGTGGTATTCTGAGGTACATTGTGGTATTCTGAGGTACTCTCCGTTACTCTGTAGTTACTATCTGTCGTTAATGTTCAGAAAACCTGACCTTCAGCAGAAACAGTCGATGATATAATTATGATAAAACGATGATGGTTCCTACAACAGGCCATGGTTAACGTGATAATGATGATGATAAGGCTGAATGACATAAACATTGTGTTCTGGGTCAGAACCGGGCCATGAGTTAGAGGAGATAGAAACCTTGTCCTTTAAGTACACGTAAAAAAAATTCAAAAAGTAAAGACTTTGTTAGAAACAAATGTTTCAAAGTAAGTAAAGCTTTATTTCTATAGCACCTTTCACAGACATATGGATCACAAAGGCAACACAATGAAAACAAACAAACAAGATTAAAAATGTCTTCTTTAAGAGTTTGTGTAAAGTGATGGTTTTGTTCAGAATCTGTTGGTTCTGCTCCTCACGCTGCAGAACCTTCTGCCACAGCTCAGCCATGACAGCAGTCCGTGGTGTGGAGCAGTGGGGTCCAGTGGAGTCTCGGCTCGTTTGAGTCCTAAGTTCTGGATGGAAGTCCAGTAAGGCTCAGTTGTGCAGCTGCTGCTCCACACACAGGTGCAGCTGGTTCTGACGGGCTCAGCAGAACTCCTGTAGATGGAGGTGAGGAGGAACTTTGATTTCCTCATTCTGTGCAGAAAGTTCTGGGTCTGAACTGGGTCATGTGTTCCCAGTCTGAACTGCTCCATCAGGTTCACGTTCCTAACTTTCCTTTAAAATAAAAACCAATAAAATAACAACTCTCCTGACCGGATCAAACCGGTTTAAACCGGTCCAGTCTGTTCACAGGAAGACCGATGAGCCTCGCCTGTCGGCTCCACGTTCACTTTCCTGAGCGGCCTTTGGATCGGACCAGGACCGAGTGATTGTTGTTAAACCAGGTGCGGCTTTGAGGCCGGAGATGTTCTGGTTCTGAAATATTTTCTCAGCAGCAGAACCTGAACGATGGTCCTGAACCAAAAGCTTCTGATTTCTTTCCCTCCTTTGGGTTTTGATGTTGCTCTCAACAATGTTGCCATGAAAACTGGTCTTAAGAAACTGTGCTGCTCAGAACTGCTGCTCTGCTGCAGCTCCGTCCAAACACACACATGGACCTGCAAAACGATGTTCTTGTTTTCAACTGGACCTGGTTCTATTGAACGTAGCAGTTGGGTTGTTGTTGATTGGGACACACAGAACTGCTCGGGTCTGTCAGCAGAACTTACATCCCAGAAACTGTCCAATCATCTGGTTCTGTTTCATGAATCGGTAGAGGCCAGAGATAACCACAGAACAGGAGCAGAAAACTGGACCAGAACTGGACCAGGACACTGGACCCTGGGCCTCGTGTACTGAGGGGTGCGTATGCAGCAAAACATGGCGTACGCCCCTTTTCACTCAAAACTTTAGATGTATCAAGAACAAAACATGGCAGTTTCATGGCTGACGTATGTATGTTTCTATGGTTACTGGTGTACACAAGTTTCTATGGCTACTGGTGTATGCACATTTTTATGGTTACTGGTGTACACAAGTTTCTATGGCTACTGGTGTATGCACATTTTTATGGTTACTGGTGTATGCACATTTTTATGGTTACTGGTGTACACAAGTTTCTATGGTTACTGGTGTACACAAGTTTCTATTGTTACTGGTGAACAACAAGTTTCTATGGTTACTGGTGAACAACAAGTTTCTATGGTTACTGGTGTATGCACATTTTTATGGTTACTGCTGTATGCAAGTTTCTATGGTTACTGGTGTACACAAGTTTCTATGGTTACTGGTGTATGCAACTTTCTATGGTTACTGGTGTACGCAAGTTTCTATGGTTACTTATGTATGCACATTTTTATGGTTACTGGTGTACGCAAGTTTCTATGGTTACTGGTGTACGCAAGTTTCTATGGTTACTGGTGTA